TCTTTTCAGCAAAGCAAGAGAACAAAGAGAATGTCCACATCTCCTCCTTGCTCTGTGCACACTCCAGATGAGAACCTCAGGTTAAATCTTCAGTTGAGACAATGGATGCAACTTGAAGAAAAGCCTTGGAGTTTTGAAGAGAGACTTGCAAAGTTGTCATTGTTACAGTCCATGTGACTAAGATTCCACCTTGATGCAGGGGCCTGTCCCTCTAAAACAAGCCACAGGGTGTGGGGGAGGGGGACTCCATAGACTCCCAAGGAGCTATTGCACAGTCTGCCCAAGCAGCATGAGCCAGCAATGTCTCACCAGCATGGGGCAAGACAAGAGAGAGAACATCCAAAGGGATCCAGTCCCAGAATGAGCTATCTGCCCGTGGTGGCAGATTTCAAAGGTTTCTACCAGAGCTACACGTTTTTGGGCAATTTTGATGAAAGTACAAATTCGAGGAACCCTATCACATGGAACAATCTGCTGATGGACACATTTAATCTCTTAATAGATCACTTCCTTTGTATTGAGAGTGCATGTAAATGCATTCCCATCAACCTGTAGCAGTCATTTTTCTACCACATTCTTAGCTGATTGACCCAGAACTCTCATGCACTGATGATTAGATCACCCTCCCTGAGTAGACACATCCTGCCTCCTCCCCTTTCTTGTCACCCTGCATCCTTTGTGCCTCATTCTCAGACTGTGGGTCATCAGATACACTCCCAGGCTGGCTCCATTGCCTGATTCCTGATTTTTTTCTTTTTTTCTTTCTTTCTTTCTTTCTTTTTTTTTTTTTTTTTTTTTTTTTTTTTTTTTTTTTTTTTTTTTGCCAGTAAGTGTTGAAAATTGTGGACTTTGTGAGACAGAGAAATCTCCACCACTCTGTCATGATTGGCTGCCTCACAAGTACTTCTTTCAAAGAGTCTCACTCCTGAGCAAGCATTTTGCTGACTCACCCAGGGAGCTCACAACTTCCAGGAAGCTGGGTTGGCAACAGGTTTTTGGTTGAAGCGCCAAGACAATTGTTTTCCCATTATTCCAGCTGGCAGACAGGCTGCATAACCCCAATAGAAATTGTTCCTTCCACAGGAAGTCATGGGGACCACCAGGAGACAGCCCAGTTCTCTTACCACCTGGACGTCTCCAAGGATTTCAAATGTTGCCTGGTCCAGACATGGGAATCTTTTCTTACAAGCCAGCTCAGGGCCATGCCTGCTGCATCTCTGAAAGATTGTCTCTGTGCTAGGCCCATACCATGCTCAGATGCAAAGGAACCACTGTCAGAGAAGAATTTGCTCATTGAAGTTGCTATGGCAAATTCTACTTAGAATTTCCAAATCCTTCAGAGTTTTTCTTAAGGTCTGAGTCCAATAAAATGACTCAGCAAATGGTGGCCAGCTCCTTCAAGAAGGGAAGGAGTAGTTGCGTTAATTCTGCAGGCCTTGATTCCCACATTGATTGTAACATTATTTATTTCTGTTATTACTTTGTGACAGAAGAGAAGCTCAGACTGTATCAAATCCATTTATTAGCATGACAAGAATTTCTATAATAAGAAAATAACCAAATTTTGGTGTTCTGTCCTTGTGCTAAGCCAGCTGGTCCAGAGGAAATGTTCTGGCCCCCACACCAGACCCCTTATTCCTACCTGGTTCCCCTCCCTGGGACCTTAGTAAAGAAGTGTCCTTAGCAACTACTTTTCAGTGCCACTCAGAGTCACCAATCTGTGGGTGACTCTTCTTTCTTTACATTCAAAGTCTCCACAGCAGGACTGCCGTGAAGGGTGAGTGTTTTATGAACTCTTGCAAAATTTGGTTTCATCTAGCATTTTTTTCTTTAAAATGTTAGCCAACACAAGCCTACCTCCTTAAGTATCACCAAACAGTCTGGGAACAGCTGGGCCCTGAATTGGAATGCACGGGAAGAACTTTGGAAATGCTTGAGATACTAAAGAAAAGTAAGGACAGATGTCTCAGTATCTTCATCCAAGAGAGGCTGTCCTTAGCTATCATAGGTTTGACTTAAAATGTATATATTTTAAAAAGCAATTAAGCTGTACACAGAATTCACTGGAGCACCCAAAGAGGCCCTAACAGTACACACACACACACACACACACACACACACACACACACACACACACACACACAAAATAAAACCCAAAAATAAAACCACCTTGCTGAGCTGCTTTGAAGTAGTTCCCAAGGTGACAGGAACATGGAGGGCATGTGTAAGTTTACAAGAAGCCAGAAGCTTGGGAAGGGATGGAGAACATCGGGAGTTCAAGGCCAGCCTCTGTTACACGGAGAGTTCAGAATTAGCCTGGGCTACATGAAACTGCATCTCAAAAAAAAAAAAAAAAAAAAAAAAAAAAATCTAAAACCAGCTAACCAAACTTCACTTTTTTCAAAAACATTTTGCATTTATTTACTTATTAATTCACTGTCTTTGTGTGTGGGTATGTACATGCCATGGTGCAGAGAGGAGAAAGACCTGAGGACAAGCTGTGAGAGTTAGCTCTACCTCCTACTCTGTGGGTTCCAGAGACTGAAATCAGGTTCTCAAGTCTAGGGAGATGCTCTACCCAGGAGTCACCTCCCCAACCCCCAACCAGATTTTATGATTGAAATTTCCTGCTTACAGGATTGACCAGGTGCAGCAAAGCCATGAATTCAATGGCCTCTTGGAGCATCTCACTGCCAAGTCCTCTAGACCAATTCATGGCCCATGTGAGCTTCTTCCCACCTCTGTCTATGCCAGGAAACACTCATGATGTATTTGCTTTGGGCCAGACATCCTTCTACACACTCCACTCACATCCACTTTATTTCCATAGCAACAGCATGAAGAAGGCACTATACTTACTTGCATCTGGCAGTTAAGGAAACTGAGGCAAAGCTAAACAACCAACTGTGCCAGGTCTTCATTGTACTCTCCCTTCTCACCTCCAAAGCAACCAACCCTTTTTTTGTCTGCTCAGTTAAAATGGATTCCAGTCATTTGTACAGTTTCCCTTAGCCGGCTGGAAAATGCCCAAGTTTGTCAGTAGGGAGTGCTGGAGAGATACAGCTCAGCAGGCACCTGGGCCAGGCCCTGCAAAGCCTGCATACCACCCCTCTCCCTACTGCTGCTGTAGCAGAGGGGCTCACCTTGTACATCTCCAGGGCAGGATTCTGGCAAGCCTCAGAGGGAGGATTTTCAGCAAGTCCTACAGGTGTGGCAGTACAAACACTCTTCTGTTGTCTATGCAGCCACATCTGAACCCTCTCCAGAGCAGCGCCTTTACTTCTGTGGCTACTTGGGCTCTTCAGAGCTGCCTCTGCTTCTTACTAGAAGTAATGCTCTATATGGTGAATAATTCAGTCCACTAAACCTTCCAGATAACTGCCGGTTTTCTTTTTCCCGATTGGATGCTGGCTGGCAGGCATGTCTGTCCAAGGCCACAGAGCAAAGGATATTAATGGCATCCACTGCAGAGCCTCTGATCCTCGTGGGTCTGTCCCCTGCTTCCCGCTTCCCCTGAGCAGGGCAGGCATGATGACACACTAGTGAAGACTCTAGTCGATGAAGATGGCTTGCCCATGGCATGGGGAAAGCACACCAAACTGAGCTGGCTCCTCACAGCCTATGATTTTTGTTGTTGTTTGTTTGTTTGGAGGGTTGGTTGGTTTTTTTTTTTTTTAAGACAGGGTTTCTCTATGTGGCCCTGCCTGTCCTGGAAGGTGCACTGTAGACCAAGCTGGCCTTGAACCAAGAGATCTGCCTACCTCTGCCTCCCCAGTGCTGGGATTAAAGGAGTGTAGCATCACCACCCAGTTTGTTTGTTTGTTTAAAAGTCATTCTGTAATTCAAGAGGCTGGGACAGGTAGATCCTTGGGGCTCAGAGGACAATCAGCCCAGCCTATTTGGCAAACTCCAGGTCAATGAGTTTTTGTTTTGTTTCTTTTGAAATGGATTGTGCCTGAACTCTGATACCTAAGATTGTCCCTCTGGCATCCTCAAGTAAACAAACATGTACCCACATACACCTACACCTGAACATGGGAGCACACATATTTGTATATGCACACACAGACATACACACAATAGGGACAGAGGTGTCACCAGGGCTCCTGCCCCGCCCCCTTGTTGGCAGGCTTCTATATGCTGCCTAGACAGGCAACCCTGTGTCTCTTGCACCAGCTCTGAGAGGCAATGCTCCCCGCCATGCATTCAGAAGCACAATGACTTTTATAATGGCCAGAGGTAGAGTAGGGGGAGACACAGTGTCAACCTAGGGTTGTATCAGGTATTATCATACTAAGCAGAATACATTGCAGAGAGATGCTTGAATTTCAAATAACTGTATTTATTTCCATTTTTGTTGCAAAACTAATTTGTTCTTAACTCCACAAATACATATTTATGGAGAATACTTGGGAAAAAGAAGAGTGGAGATCTAGAGGCCATTTGATCAAGATAACTTCTGGTGCGTGCGTGCGTGCGTGTGAGAGAGAGAGAGAGAGAGAGAGAGAGAGAGAGAGAGAGAGAGAGAGAGAGAGAGAGCATGTGCTATAAAAACACTGATGTTCTCACCCAGTCATCTCAGGCTCCCACTAATACAAGTGCTTTGGCTGGCAAAGGCGGAACCGTGGGGTGGGGGGGAAGAGAGGCAGAGGGCGCTCTGGCTTGCTTGCACTCTGCCTCTTCACCTGTCCATTTTAAAGTCAGCCTCTGGTACTTCAGATGAGTGTGCTAAAAGACTTTGACCCATACTCTGGATTTCAGAACTGGCAGCCATTGGGACTGGGAATTAAAATATGATAGATTTTTGCTTCTCAAAAATTTTAAAAAATATTTCTCCCAAAAAAACACATCAAAGCATACTTGAAAATATAAAGCTTTCCTTCTTGGGTGGAAATGGTATACTGCAAACTTCAGAAGCATTGGGTAAAATTCAAAAGCAAAACCAAAACAAAACCAAATAATAAAAGGGGCTATGTCTAGTAGGTTCAGAGGGATAGAAGTCCTGGCAATGGTCTGCTGACCTATTAACTGCAGGACTGTTTCTTTTGTTTGTTTGGGTCATTCAGAAAGTGAAAAAAAAAAAATCAAAAGTAAAGTATCTTTCACGTGCGAAGATAGTGTTTAGTTTAATGGTTCATCCAGTGTCAGAAGTCTTCCCAGGTCCAGGCTGTGGCTAGCAGAGCCACCTGGAATCAGACTGCATTCCTCTGAAGGAGCTGGTCCAGTAATTGCTGGAGGAGTGAGGACCACAAAGATGTCAAGATCCCCTTCTCCTCTGCCCACCACCCACGTCACGCCTGCGCATGCCAGGCAGCTACCTTTTTGAAGACTTCTGCTCGGAGTCTGTTACTCTGTAAGATCACTCTTTTCTTTTGCTCTTCTTTTTTTTTTTTAACTTCCGGCAAGTTATTATAGATTCTGAAACAGACAGAGGACCTGATGAGGAACCAGATGGCAGGTGCTGGGGTGGGGGGGATGGGGACAGCCTGACTCATCAGCCAGAAGGAGCTCACAGGTAGGGTCTTCCTGATGGTAAGGTACCCTCTGAAGAAGTCCTCTGCATCAGAGCACAGGGAACCCATGGAAGAGGAGACAGAAAGAGTGTGAGAGCCGGAAGGGATGGAGGACACTAGAACAAGGCCCTCTAAATCAACTGAGCAAAGCCCATATGAACTCAGAGACTGAAGCAGCAAGGGTCCACACCAGGTCTTCTTCTAGGTACATATTGTAGCTTTCAGTCAGTATTATTATGGGATCCCTGACTGTGTGAATGAATGAGCGAGTGTCTGATTCTAGTGCCTTCTCTTGGGGCTCTTTTACTTGTCAATTTCAATGTATTAAAAAATAAAAAACAAGATACAAGTATATTTATAAACCTTATTGAACCCATAGAGGCCCTGAAAAACAAAATAGATCTTCTCTGAGGTCCCAGGCCATAGACTCTCTGGGGACAGTGTCTCAATGATGTGTCCTGGGCAGTGTGGCAGGCAAGCTGGGGAGACCAGGTATTTATGTGGGAGTCACTTCTCATCTTATATTTTCAGTGATAAAGATTTACCTGTAAGAAGGGGGGAGGGGTTTCAACCTACTGATTTGCCATTCTGAGGGGCAACATTCCCTATATATCCCCCTTTTGGCCATCCAAGTTTTGACTTCCTGTGATTTGATGAGAAACAACAGATTGGATGGCAGTAGCAAGAATCGTGTACTGGAAATAAACATTAAGAACATGTTTATTTACCCTTAGCCTATGGCATGTCTGATTAAGCTGATTCTAAACACAGTACGGATTCAAATATTTGGCCCTTGTCCCCACATAAATAATGAACTTCTGGGCTGCCAGCAGGGGCTAAGGGACCCTTATCTGGAAGGTTGCTTACTCCCCAAGGACCAGGAGAGAAGTTCACAGGGGAGCTTGCCCTGAAACACTTGAGAGGACAGATCAGAGACTGCCTCTCCTTGAGCTGTTTGTCCAACTCAACTGGGAAGTGGAAACAAAAGCTTGCATGTCCCACCTCTGGCCCTTCACTATTTCCTCTGGTGAGATCCCGATATATAATAGTATATGCAGTCAAAAGCAAGGAGGACAGAAATCTGCATCTTGGGAAAGCTCACAGGTCACACCAGGAAATGGTAAGCTAATGACGGTAAAGACCAGTGTCTGCTTAAATGTACAAACAGGAGGCTTTGAAGGGAAGAGAAAGGGACAGATGGTGGGCATCTTAGCAGGTAGGTCTAGGACTAAGGGAGGGGCAGCTGGCTAATTGGTCTTGAGGGGACATCAGCTTTACTCTACTGCTTGATTTAAATGAAAATATAACCAACACAATCCATGTCAAGGAACATGAAAAAAGCCATTCCAGGTGCCCATGGGAGCCAGGTCAGAGCCCAGCCAGGCATGTGCCACAGAGCAAATAGGTCCAATTGCTTGGTTTTCCTGAGGAGAACAGATAAAGGCCACGTAGCTCACTAGTCCTCCTTGAACATCAGTTTCTTCTTCAGATGTATGTCAGGCAGCCTCTGCCTACCAATGCTGCCTCAAAGTGCATTATTTAAACTGCTTGATCGGCAAGGCCTTATATAATAGCAGTTTTAGGCTTGGGGACCAATAAGGAAAGGGTTTTTTTTTTGTTTGTTTGTTTGTTTGTTTTGTTTTTAATTTTTATTTATTTTTTTCTTCACTAAATTGAAGAGAATGCTTTTGTTGCAAGGTATATACAACTTTTCATTTATGAAACAGCAAGTCTTCAAATGGAGGGACCTTTTATAAGCCCCGGTTAGAGTGTTGGGAGCCATATCATTAATGGTATGCCCCTAATTCTTATTTTAATACTTTCAAAGAGGTTCCCTGTAGGTAACCAAAGTTACTTAATTATCATGGAAACAACATAAATCACGATAAAAGCAGAGATTTAGGGTCTGGAGTGGGGGCAAAATTATTCTTCCTATTTCAGTGGTGTGTCTCTGAGTGCACTATCAATTTGATTTAATTACTATAATCTCTCCCAGGGCTAGGCACTCTATTACAGCTTAGTGGCATTTTACATGCGTGAACATGGCCAACCATGCTGAGCTTGTGTGTCCTGGTTAAGAGGCCATGTCCCAGAAAGAATGGTAGCCTTTGTGTGCCCCGAGGTGGTAAGAGTTAGCGGGACTCGGATAGTGACTAGCCAGGCAGAGCAGGGAGAACCTTGGTGGCCCCCGCCAGGACTATCAGAGACAGACATGCCAGAAAAGCTGGTTTGGGGCCCCTCTGGGCCCCCCCTGGCTCCCATGCTCTGCTGGCTTCCAGTTTGGAAGCTTTTCCTCAGGACCGCCTCAGTGAAGGCCCTCCAGAGAAACGGGTTCTCTCCTCCTCGTAAAATTACTTTCAAAGGTGCAGCCGCACATGGCTGCTGCCCAGAGCCACGAGGCAAATGCATCGAAAGAGTTTCAGTTCAGAATCCGCTGATCACTCAGGGACCAATTACAGGCCGCCCCTGAATCCAAGACCCACCACTTTCCGAAGGTTGGTCCAAGAGCAGCACAAACATTCCAATGCACAGTCTGGCAACTTTGCTCACCTCAGCCAGGTTTTCAGATTGGCAGCCAAGAAGACCTCAGCCCTTAAATGTGGGCCTGGAATCCGTGGCCCAAGGGGCAGCATCTGGGCCCTTCAAGCCTCCCTCCCCAGCTCTTTCTGTACCTCCCACAAGAGCCAAATACCTTTTAGATCTCATATGCATCTCCTTCTCTGAAATGCATCTTTCTTTGGGTTTGAACAAGTTATCTGGAAGAAACAGAAAGATGATTGATTTCAGAAGATACAGAATAGCACAATGTATGGAGCAACCCTGAGGTAGATCCAGAATAGTTTCCTGATTGTTCCGTCCTCCAAATCAGGGCCTATGACAAATACTGTGGATTTCCCATTGACCAGACGACAGCTGGTCTCAGCAAGAGTTAAACAGGGCAGAAACAAAACATCAGTATGCTTTAGTTGTCAACTTGACACAACCTAGAATCACTGGGGAAGGAAGTCTTCCTGAGGAAGTATCTAGGTCAGGCTGGCACATGGACATGTCTCTGAGGGGCTGTCTTGATTGTTAATTGAAGGAGGAAGGCCCACACTGAAGGTGGCTGGTACCATTTCATGGCCGGGTCTTGAACACGTTAAGAACACTGGCTATTTTTGCAGAGGACTCAGATTTGGCTCCCAAAGCTCAGTGGTAGCTCACAACAGTTTGTTGTTCAAGTTGCAAGGGATCTGATACTTTCCTCTAGCCTTCACGGGCACCAAGCATGCATGTAGTATACACATGTAGACAAATACATACATACATACACACACACACACACACACACACACACACATTTAAAAAAATAGAAGCTAGCTAAGTGCCACATACACAAGCAGGCAAGGATCCCAAACTGCACTGCATTTGAATTTAAATTCCTCACAATAATAGACTGAAACCTGGAATTATAAGCCTAACAAGTCCTTCAAGTCCTTTGTTCCCTTACTTTGCTTTTTGACAGGATTTTTTTTTTTTTAATGGCACTTGAACAGCCACCCCACTGAACATTTCTTTTAGCAATAAAGGGGAGCAACAAATGCCAGGCTATCTGCTCAAAGGAAAATCCCTATACTAGGTTCCTGGGCTCTAAAGACAGGGAAATCTCCCAGTCTTCCTAAGACTCCACCCCCAGAAGGGGCTCCTGGAGTTTCCCAGAATTAACAGAGTACCACTAAGTCTGTCTGGATCTTGAGTGAGCAAATGTGTGCATATTTGAAGACTTCCCTCAGAGAGAGAGAGAGAGAGAGAGAGAGAAGCCTTAACACAAAGTCTCAGACCCAATTTTGGATTAGCATTCTTTTAGGAACTAGTGGAGGCCAGGGTGGAGCCAGTGGAGACAGATGTACTGTATTCTCTGTATTCTCCAGGGATCCCCCTAGTAAGACGTTTAAGTAATCTCCCATCAACTGTATGTGGTCTATTCTGGGGAATCAGATGTTCCTCTTCTCCCAGGTCTGCTTCTCCAGGGCATCTGATACCATGAGCTTTGCTTCTATTTCCAGAAGGGAAACTGGAGCCACGATGCTTCCATGGCTGTGTGTTTTGAACTCTTTTCAGCCTGCTGTATGAGAGCAGGAGGTGGAATCAGGAACCCAGCAGTCCTTAATGGGTACAAAGCAAGCAGGCCTGTATCCAGGAAGGCTCAAGGCCGGTGGGCTCATGCCCACCCTCTGCCTGGAAAGTGTTCTAGTTTCACTTCTGTTGCTGCCACATAATATCCTGATGAAACAACAACAACAAAAACCTTACAAGGAAAGGGATTTATTTGGCTTTCAATTCCAGGTTATAGTCTATCATTTCAGGGAAGTTAAGGCAGGAACCAGAGGCAGATAGTCATATCAATAGTCAAAAGCAGAGGAAGAACAAGGCGAGATCACTTACTGTTCAACTAGATTTCTCTACTCTTACATGTTCTAGTGCCCTAAACTCAGGGATGGTATCACTCACTTTCAGACTGGGCCTATTCACACCAATCAATAGGATCAAGAGAATCCTACACACACACACACACACATACACACACACACATATACATACAGAGACACACACGACCACACATGTGTGCACTTGCATGCTTGTGAGCACATACACACAGACCCCATACACATATACATAGATGCATGAACATACATCACACACAAGTACATGCACATACCACACCATCCACACACACACACACACACACACACACACACACACACACACACACCCCAACCAAATCTAGATCAATCCCTCACTGAGACTCTTTGGTTGCAGTTAAATTGACTAAGTATCTCAAATGGCCTTTAGCAGTTTGTGAGCGGATGTGGACATCTGAGTGGTCACAATGATTCTGCTTACACTTACAGAATCTTCCTTCTATGATCCCACTCTTCTTTTCAGCCCTGTGACATGTTTATGATGTTCTGCATTTAGGGATGGTGTCCATTAGTTTCCAAAGGGTAAGTTTTACCTGCCAGATCCACTGTAAATGAGTGAGGCAAGCCTGGATTTCAGCCCCTATTAGCCTAATGCCATACACATGCACTCTTGACTGCAATACATGGCCACTCACTTGTAGCTACAGAACCTATTTTCTGAGAATTACAAACAAAGGTTCTTCCATTTCTCATGAGATCCAATCCCAAATTCATTTTCCCCACACACACTCTTCCTTTTATAGCTCTGCAAGGGATACAGACAGTATGACTCATGGGGGATTCATTTCAAGGGGATTTATTATGGTACATGTCCCCCATGGACTCATGAGTTTGAGTACTTGGGGCAATTTTTGGAGGTGGAGTCTTGCTGGAGGAAATGGGATACTAGGGGGCTGCCCTTGAGGTTTCTGTAGCCTGCCTTCACTTCCTGTTAGATCTCTACTTCCTGATCCACCCAGATAAAAGCAAACTACCTCATACTCTTACTATCACAGCTTTGACCTGCTTCTGCTGACATGTCTTCCCCAACCATGACAGCCTGCTTCCTCCAGCTGAGACCAAAATAAAGCCTTCCTTCTTCATGTTGACTTGTCAGCTGTTCAGTCCCAGAGATTAGAAACCCATCCTGTATGCATGTGCTTTACTCAGAGATAAGGTTAAATCTGATCTACTCATTCCTGCTTGCAGAAATTCTGCTTTTATAAAAATTAAAGCACTGGTGAGAATCATTTTCAACCCCCTTCTGGATCTTTTATGGTTTTTTCTTAGAGCTGCATATATTCTGACTGCCTTGGAGGAAAGACATAATTATATTTACTCTATTATCACTCAAGTAGAGGGGGACTTTTCAGTAAAATTACTAAGGTAAGCTACATTCTGGAAAACATACCCATCACACACATAGACATACACCCACATATACCACACACCACACACCACACACACACACACACACACACACACACACACACACCAGGATCTCTTTCTGATTGAATTTGATAAGTTCCCTAAGCTCCTATGTTTCAAAGTCAGCAGGCAACTAGGTACCAAATCTTCTGAGGAGTTTTTGTAAAAACCAAGTCCTCAAATCCCATTAATTTGTATAAACATGGGCAGGTGTTTATTACTCTAAACCAATAATGTATGAGAGCACATATGGGGACAGGTGACCTCAGCATGCAGCCTCATGATAGTGTCATGTCACCAAGAAACACCCAGAACCACCCTGATGCCAGCACATCTTGTTGCTTGGGGCAAAATTTTACAGCTTCCACAGGATGGTAAAGCTTCACCTTCCCTCTCCAGTCATTTATATGATAATAAACGTAACAAGGATGAACTCCCAGGAGTCTTTCCTCTGTCACCCTGGACTCCTGAAAAATGTTTTAGACATTTACTTCTCCCGAGAAACACTCAAACCAAGTCCTACCTGTTGGGACAGAGTAGAGCCAATCAGATGCCCCGGAGAGTAGATGCTGGTTTGCACCTCCTGAAGTCTTCACAGAGCATTCAAGACTGGTCTTCTGGGGAGAGTGGCTATTCGTGTGCTCTAAGGTACCTCTATTTGCATCTATTCTAAGATTACAGGGGTTTCTCATTGGGCGATCTCCCATAAGTTCAGTTCAGTTCTACCACACCCATCATATCTGGCTGCCTCACCACTGTGAAAATGCTAATTCCCCTGAAGTAGGTGATAGTGGGATGATCTATTTTGGTCTAAAGAGAACTTCAGAGATTAACAACACCTCTCTAAAGTCCCATCCCATTGCCCAGTTCAGTACCCCTTCTCCTCCCTCTCCACACTCCTTCTCTCCCACTAGAAGACATGAGATGCCCCACACTGATACTTAGTGCCTGGCCCAGCAAGGGTTAAAAGGATTAAGGAATCAAACAACCTTCCTTAGTTCCCTATGAAAGCCAGAGGGACTGCCGAGGAGTCCTAAGCTGTAACAATTCCTAAAGATCACAAAGGACACATGCGCTCATGAGCCATACCTAAAGATATTCCATTCATTAGTGTTGGCAGCAACAGCGGCACCAAACTAAACCAGATCCTCAAAGTGAACCCTAAAGAGCCCCTGGCCCCTTCCAAAGAAAGGTATATGTCTGCTGCTTCCCAGGAGCTTCCACAACGTCTAGAAAATAGAAGGAACTCCACCTGGAAGATGGGCAGCTTCATTGAATCTTGATAATTAATGACCCCTAATCTATTATAATCTAACTAAACAAGGCAGGAAAAATCCTACACAAAGATAATACAAGCTTTCATAAATTAAATATTGTGCTTTTATGATGGGCATAGGGTGATTCTTTGTCTTGCCTGAATCATAGCTAAGTCTGTGTTAAGTGGAAAAAAAATTGAAGGCACCTATATTTGAGGATCCTTGTTACTGTGACAAAAAGTAGTGTGAAGGGTAAGAAGAAAGCCAAGGCCCTGTGGCCTTCACAGCCTTGAGGCAGGAATGCCAGACATAGGGTGCCCACCCAAATTTGCACTTATAACAACAAATCCCTTAAATTACAGACGACATCTTAGATGTTACATGGAGCCTAATCATACAAGACTAGGTGTGAGAGTTGGTGTGAGAGTTAATATTGACCCTGATTACAGATGCAACATGACCACCATGCATTCCATACCACAATGGCTGTACCCTTAAACTGAGGAACCTGACCTTCCTGAAACTTCTTTTTTCAGGTATTTGAACAACAGGATGAGAAAAACTAACTGATACATCAGCCATTATTCATTTCCATTTCCTGGAAATAGTAGTTGTGCTGTATGCATTCAC